GATGAAACTGAAGTTTAGAAAAACAAGGAAATTCCCCAAGTTCCCAAAACTAACCATTAGCGGAGCAAGGAGTAGCTACCGATTTTCCAATTTCTAGCACAGCATAGACTCTAAGAACCAATCAGATGAAAGATACTATGCCTTTCATCATATCACTGAGATGCAATAAGGAGGATTGAACCCAATTGTCTCCTGTTGTTTTTGACCATTTCTAGTATGGGTGGGAAATCTCAGTGCATGACCCCTTTGTTGAAATGTAATGGGGAAAATGACTTCTGACTCTTTAGTTTATATAACTATGGAGCTTGATTAATGAAGACCACAACCCATCTGCCAGTTTGTTGTACTGTGGTGGTTTTGCATGTTGCTGTAATGCTGGAAGCTATGCCACTGGTATTTCCAAATACCAGCAGGGTCACCCATGCTGGACAGGTTTCAGCAGAGCTTCCAGATTAAGATAGACTAGGAAGAAAGGCCTGGGAACCTAATTCCAAGAATTAGCCAGTGAAAACCCTATGAATCACAACAGAATATTGTTTGAGTCCATTGCTTTGGACACACCATCAGGAGGGATCAATCATTGGAGGAGGACATCATATTTGGTGAAGTACAGGTCAAGCAAGGGCATGGGAGACCCTTGGTGAGATAAACTGGCACAATAGCTGGAACAATGAACTCAAATATGCCAGCAATTATGAGGATGATGCAGGACTAGACATCATTTCATTCTGTTGTACCTAAGGTTGCCATGAGTCAGAGTCAACTCTATGGCAGGTATCTATCTATCTGTCTATCTGTCTGTCTTTCTATCTATTAATGAAGAAGATGGATGATAACATTACTTGTAGCTGTCTGACACTGTGGGGGATTGAGGAAAGAAAGGAAAAAATATTATAGGACATAAATATCTGCAATGACTATGCGGAGTTGAGCAGCAAAGGAGTCTCACGGTGTATATGGTATCTGTTTCCCCCTTTCGGCAAGAGTTTGGGGTCAGTAATAGAAAACACCTACATTTGAATCTGTGCTTCTACTGCAGTATAGAAACACAAACCGAACACTTTTTTCTCAGAGGGGAAGATCCTGCTGTTGGAGAGAGGGAGTGTGGAAAACATCTAATATATCTTGTTCACAAAAAGTGTCATTTTAGTGTCAGTTCCTATTTCTTTTAAATCCATTAAGAGTCATACGCTGCAGTTTCTAGTCAGGAAAGACAGACATCATCATACACATTAGTTCCTAACACCTTGGGGTACATTTTCAGCATTGCGCCTCTGGGAAATCACTGTAGGTATGCAATTCCTACGACTGTTAAATGGAAGTGTGAAGCCGATTCCCCATACACACCAAGGAAACTTAGTCGGAAGGTATCTTCGTTTTCTTAAGCGTTTCAGCTCACTTTAAGTGGAGCCTGTGAATTCTTTCCTTTGTACACAGCCTGGGGAATCTCTCTACCTTACAGCTTATGTCAGATGGAAGGTGGGAAAAAAATTCTTCTCAACATATAGAAATGTCTTCTCTATTTTCACGTACAAATTTCAACAATGTCAGAGTCAAAGACCCCTGAGAGAGATATAGCTATTTGTGTGCTCGTGTAGTTTTATGTAACTTTTAAAGTTCATGTTATCATTTGAGCCTTTTAATATTTTTATTGGAGGTGATATATGAGGTCTATAAAAGTTATTTTTATCTTGTCAGTCAACTTTTGATGACAACAGTGAAAATGAAGATGTCTGTGATCATGATGATAATAACTACCTGTTTAACCTGTTTGTTGAGTGCTTACGACGTTCAAAGTACTCTTCAAGGAGTATCATGATGATGTTTATTTAGAGCTTATTTGACCGAAACTGCCATGTGCTTTACAGGCATCATCCTTTGATTGTCCCAGCAATTGTTTTTTTTTTTTTTTCTTTTCTTTTGATGAGGAAACTGAGACTCTCAAAGAAAGGTAAGGCGCTTTGCCCAGGATTATCGGCAAAGCCAGAAGCTAGCTGCAGGTTTATCTCGTTTCAAGCCCAGGTTCTTTGCGTGACACCTCCAGATAAGATTAAATCACTGTTAGAGATGCCTGACCATTTTCGTGTCAAGTGAGAAGGTTATACAAAGTGTTGCCCACACTGGCAATGAGACCGTAACAGCCCCCACCCCCACTTTGCTGAAGTTGGGCACAAGACGCCAGTATCATGGGAAAAGCCACTTCCCTGGTGCTCTTTCAACTCCTTATACACAAGTGATACATTAGAAAATATATTAGACTCATTTGATTCACAACCATCCAACTCATCATAACTAATGGAAGATGACACATGAAGCAAAATGCCTTCCTTCTTCCCGAAGTCTGAATTTCCTCTAGTTCTACATGACCCACTTTAGGCGAGATTTCCACTGATGAACACATAAGCTAGTTTCTGATTTCTGAATGTACATTAAAGCTCATCTAATGCAAAATTAACCTATCTTTATTACTGGAACTGTAGACTATTAAGGTAGCATGCAGAGTTACAGAGTTATAAATTTGGAAGAGATTTCCGTATGAGGCACCTGTAACTTTATGAATGCTGTTCCCCTTTTTCTGAAATTGGGTTTTGAATCAAGGATTCATGAAGGGGAGAAAGAATAGGGAGGTGGGACAGGGAGCAGCTCCAGATGGTCACAAACTCTAACTTTTGGTCTCTGGACAAACCCAATTTAGGAGAAATCATTATCCCTGCGAGGTAGTGACATTTGCAACACAAAGTGTAAAAACAGTAAGTGCTCCATAAATGTTAGCTCTGATAAGCACTTCACTTGCCATTTCTTATTAATCCTCACAAAACTCCTGAAAGATGAATGCTAATCCCATTTCTGGTTATTAAGTCTTTGGTTATAAACTATACAGCTATTTACTTACAGAGCAAGGAGTGAAGTCTGTTAGTTCTCAAAGCCCAGGTTCTTTATTACCATACTATATTGCAATCACCTGTTTCCTAAAGGCTCTAACTGTTGTTGCGAATACTGGCTAGCCCATGTGGATATGTGATATGTTTATGCTAATCCTGGTGGTGCTGTGGTTAAGAGCTCAGCTGCTAACCAAAAGGTCAGCAGCTCAAATCCACTAGCCGCTCCTTGCAAACCCTATGGGACAGTTCTACTCTCTCCTGTAGGATGGCTATGAGTTGGAATTGAGTCCACGGCAATGAGTTTGTTTTGTTTTGTTTTGTTTTTATGCTAATCCATGGAATGATAAAAATAGAATAAACACCAAGGGTAGTTGGCGGGATGTATGGGGGAAGTCAATAAAGACAATCTCATTGACAAAAAGGCCCCCTACCACAGAAGAGCTCTGTAATCTTGGTTCCTGGAATTGATTTATTAGCCAAGTCCTTGTGCTAACATTTGCATTCTAAGGGGGTGGGGAGGGCTTTTCATGTCTTATCTAGAAGTGGTGACAAATTAAGCCATTATCAGTCATTAATAGCTTAAATTAATGTGTCCAATTAGTACTCAGTCACCTACAAGAGACCTTAAGTAACTGGGCTTTCAGACAGAAAAAGTGGAAGCTTTTATTGAGCACCTATTATGAGACAGGAATAAAGTTAGATCAAGGTCAGCAAATTTGTCTGTAAAGGGTCAAACATCTTAGCTTTGCGGGTAATAGGGCCCCTGTTGCAGCTACTCAACTTGTCCTTTGTATTGAGCAAGCAGCCATATACACTATGTAAATGAATGAACCTGAATGATTTCCAAAAACAGTTTATTTACAATATCAGGCTGCAGGTCTGTTTTTGATACGTGTTAGCTGTTTTGTTAATATTGTTATCATTTTGAAAAAGAAATTATATTTTAGTATTAAAATATAAGAAAAATCACCTCAGAAAAAGGACAGTCTTTTAAATTGAATAAATTTAAATTCATAAAAGATTGTATTTTCTTATTGGTCTTAGTTTTCCACAATTTGACCTGCAGACCTCTGTTTTGACACCCTTTTTTAAAATTATTTTTAAGATTTTTATCGTAAAAACATTTCAATATATACACGTGATAGTTAAGATTGTGTGTCAACTTGGCTGGACCATGATTCTCAGTGTTTACACCTGATCACTCCCATGATGGAATCTGCTGTGAGTAGCCAGTCTGTTGAAAGGGAGTTTCCTTGGGATTGTGGCCTGCATCCAAATATAAGCAGACGTTATGGCTTTTTGCTCACTCCCGATCCTGTGGCTGCCTCCTGTTCATCTGACCTCCAGTTCTTGGGATTTGAGCTATCAGCTTATCTACCAATCCTGGGATTCCTCAACCTTCACAGCCTGTGAGTGAGAGCCCTACTCTCTGACCCAGAGCCCTACTCTGGGTTTGCCAGCCCCTGCAGCTACATGAATCGAGAGAAGCCTCTATCCTGATCCACGGACTTGGGACGTTCCAGCCTCTACAATTGCGTGTGCCATTTCCTTGATATAAATCTCTTTATATATATATACATATTTACACACTTTACTGGTTTTGCTTCTCTAGAGAACCCAGCCTAAGACAACATAATAAACAGAATAGGATAATGAACTCCTATATGCCAATCAGTCCCTGGGTGGTACAAACAGTTAACATACTAGGCTGATAACCAAACGGTTGGAGGTTCCATTCTACCCAGCTCTCTCGGAAGAAAGACCTGGTGATCACTTTCAAAAGATCACAGCCATACTCGCTTTGACAGCACATACAGGTAGTCCCCAACTTACAATGGGGTTCCGTTCCAACGACTCCATCGTGAGTTTGTTGTGACATAGGCTGAATACCTCTTCTTTTAAATTTTCGTTATTATTAACAGTATCTTTATAAATCTGATCGTTATTTGTCTGTGGGGGTTGGAAACACTACATATAAACATCTGTGAGTGAACATCTGAGTAGATGACATCAGCAAATTACATGCTGCAACATTGTATGTACTATGCATTACTAACAATAAAATGTACAAAAAAAAAGTTAATCGTAAGTGTGGTTCATCGTAACTCAAATACATCTTAAGTCAGGGACTACCTATACTAAAATTGGAACAATACAGAGAAAATTAGCATGGCCCCTGAGCAAGGATAACATCCAAATTCGTGAAGCATTCCATACTTTTCTGTCAATAATTTGTACACCTGTAAAAATTTGAATTGGCAAAAGTTGTGTGATAGCTACATTTACAACAATAAAAAAAAAAAGAGTAGCTGCTGAGGCTGTTTATGTACAACCAAACGCCTCATGGGATTTGGTTCCTTGGTTTGGAGGTTTTAGGATCATGGTTTCATGGGCCATCCCAGTTAATTGATCTAATAACATGTTCAGTGCTTCTGTTCTACCTCCTAGTTCATTATGTAGTGCCTGGGGTCTTAAGAGCATGCAAGCAGGCATGCAAGGTGCAACAATTGGTCTCTCTTCCCCTGAAGCAACAGAGGAATAAGGACAGTCAGGAATAGGAGAAGGAAGTGGAATGTGTAGTAAATTGACTTCATGAACAACTGCCTCCTATGCCATGAGATAGGAAGAATTGGATGGTGCCTGGTCCCCATTACTGAATGTTTTGATTATAGATTCTGTAGAAGAATCCTGATCAAAAGGGGGGAAATGCAGAACAGAATTTGAAATTCTCATGGACTCCAGACTTTCTGGATCTATGAGCCTGGGTGAACCCCTGAAACTATTGTCCTGAGATAATCTTTAAACCTAAACCTTAAACCAAAAATATCCTCTGAAGGCTTCTTAAAACCAAACAATAGTTTAGCTTAACTAGTAAGGAATGTCTGCCTTGAGCATTGTTCTCTTTTAAGATCTGTCTATATAGGATCAAACTGACAACAGCAACTCGAAAGATTAGATAGGAAACTTAGGGGGCAGTTAGTTTATGTTAAAGGAGGTTGAATGATTCAGAAAAGGACAGTGACAATGGTTGCTTTCATTCCAAATCATGTGCTATTTGTACCTCATGATTTACTGGAAGTAATAAGTGGATTCCCATGGATTTCTGATGGTGGTAGGCCAGGTGATGGAACTCACCTAATCCTTACCACTTGTTACTCAGAGCCTAGCACACGAGAGTTGCTCAATCAACATTTGTTGAAAGGATGGGGGAAGGGCACCAGTCTTTGGAGGATACTGAAATTAGATTACCAGGGCCAATGGCCTTCTTCATACTTTTGCCCGGGGCTGGCAGAAATCAGTATATATTGATCATTTGTAAGCAAAGCCTGCTTCTTGCTATAAACTGCACTTACACTGAAACGCCAGCTAGTACATCAAAACATAGACCAGAACAGTGAATAAACTATGTCCTGGGACTTCTCTGGCAACTAGCTCCGTACTATGCACACTATGGAAGTAGTACATATTTTCCTATATCATCATGAACTTGGCAAACTGGATACCTTTAAAATAGAGAAGTCAGCTTGTACATATTCTAGGCTTTCTTTCCAAATTCCCTAAAATCCCTTGTGTTAAACACTTGTTTCTCCCTGGAATATAAAAGAGATAGAGAAGCGATAGAGATAGATATATGTATAGAGAGAGCGTGAGAGAGGGAGGAGGGAGGAAGGGAGGGAGGGAGAAAGGAAGGAAAAAAAGACAAAAAAATGAAGGAAGACTTAGACTTGAGAGAGTCTGTCAAGGGAATTATTTGTCCTGGAGTATTTGTAGAGAATTCTGATTTTTATTATTGTAGAGATAGTCTTGGCCAAGTCTGCAAACTCAACTGTACAAGGAACAAGCAGGTAACATTATCGGGTAACGTGGGCTGGGTGAGGCTGTGGGGAAACGTAGGGTCACTGCGCAGCTGTGCAATATGTGATGGGTCCCAGTGTTGCCAGTGTATCTGATTTTTTAATGAGAAGCCAGACATCCAGATGTTTATATGAAATATCCTGCTTTCCGAAAGTTGGCCCCTAATGTGTATTTTCAAAAAGTGCATACATTTTTAAGGAGTTCTTAGGGTCAATATTATGCTGGCCAACAATACCCACCAGAAAGGAAAGACAGACTAAGCCTGTGAGCAGCCAGTGTATAATTTCTGATCTAGGGGTAGCCCCCTTCTTCCCATTCCCTATTTTACATAAGGAATAGAATGCAGGAAATGGCTTGCTGGAAGCCACAAGTTGAACAAGGGGCAGAGTTAGGACTAGAACCTAGAAGACTTCGCTTTCCACATGTACTTAAAAAACAACCAAACAAAAAAAGCAAGTGTTGGTGATCAAAGTTTGCTGAAAAGAGTAGAGGGACCAGATCTGAAACATGTTATTTCATGTCCCTCCTTCTGCAAAAAAGACCACCCCCAAATTTCAAATGGGTGGACATGGGACGCAACTCCCTGTCCTGTCTCAGCTGTGTCATTGATCAACCACCCCTCGTCTTGTAGCACACAGAGTTAGTTGAATTGCTTTTCCCTGAGGGAAGCAGTGCCTCCAGGTGTGCTAATAATAAAATTAAAAGCTTAGAAGAACTGCTTGCTACAGCAACAGCGGCAGGAGAAAGGGAGGATCGATTTCAGTGTTTAACTGTCCTAATTCCATAGTGTATACCTCACCTCAGCCCTTGGTGAGTTGCGCTCCGTCTCACGGTTAATCAATAGATGCCTGATTTAAAACAAAGAACCCGCTTCAAGATTAGAAGTCTTTGTGAATAAAAAGATGTAGGGTACAACTGTCAAAACCCTTCAGTTCCTATTTGAATACTGCAACTTGAAGGGCAGTCACTAGCAGATATGAAAGAAAAAAAAATCATGTGCATTGTATCCCCTTCTGCCTATAAACAAAAGAAGGAAGCTATCTAGGCACTGCTACTGCTGAAGGCATCACATAAATAAGAATTTATTGAGTTGCTCTGTGTTTAAAGGACTGTGAACATAAAGACGTGTGAATACTTTCAGTTGCTTGGAGAGTAATATGTTTCAGCTCTAATCGGCCTGCTATCTGGTGGTTCAATTTATACCTTCTTGTAGCTGGCGTTCTCATCTTTTCCCTGGAGGGAAGAGGATCAGATTCGTGATCAACTTCCTGACCACATTCGAGCTACCACTATCTGCTGAGTTTCCCAGAACCAGCCCCTTCAGAGGCTTATCAGTTCTGCACTTCTCTGTCTTCCCTCTCTCACCAAATCTGCTTTCCATCTACACGACAATAACTGAATCCACAGACTCTTCCATTTCCAGGAGTTCAGTGAGCTTTCACCTTCAGTGAGTAATCTTTCTCTGCATCTGCTGTTATTTCTACTGCTATTATTTCAAGCTCTATCCTTTTCCTCAACTCAGATGTTCTCCGTTTTTTGAAAAAAAAAGCTCATTGAGAGTGAGGAGAAGTTGTTGTTTGTTAGCTGCCACCGAGTCCACCCCAAACATGTGGGGACGCCATGTGCAAAGCAACTAAACACTGTCCAGTCCTGAACCATCCCCATGATTGTGGATTGCATTGTTGTGATTCACAGGGTTTTCATTGGCTGATTTTTGGAAGTAGATGGCTAGACCTTTCTTCCTAGTCTGTCTTAGCCTAGAAGCTCTCCTGAAACATGTTCAGCATCATAGAAATGTGTAAGCCTCCACCGATGGACACAGATGGTCGTGGCTGTGCATGTTAGTTACTTCTTTTTAGCATGTTCCCAACTGGCTTTCAGATAAGTCCGTAAGTCACAATAAGATCTCCTAGAAAGAAAAGATTGCATTTTTTTCTCTTCTATTTAGTGTTTTAAATCCTCATGGAATTTTCTTAGGTAGCCCGAAAAATAGCCACATCCCTACTTTGCCCGTGGTGTGTAAACTGTACTCAGGTTGAGGTATAAATTTCTTTCCTTTGTACCACCACTGAGTAGGAAGGTGGGTATAAACTATTGGTCTGGTAGGGGCTGGTAGGTGCATCTGTGCCAGGCTGGTTTACACCCAGGTCTATTTTACATACCACCCATGCCTCCAATGATGATGATCCAGCCAGAGGAAAGAGTTGAATGTTTTCCCTAATTCAAAGAAATGCCCCCCACCTTTTTTTTTTTTTTTTTCTTTTGTGTGAATTCCCTGAAGGGAAAGCATTTAATTTGAAACAAGAAACTGGTATTTGGGTTTTTTTTCATATTTATTTTTTACAGTGATGGTGGCAGTTGATTCCCAGTGCGGGTTCTTTTCAACCGATTATCCCAGCGTGAGGACTGTTCCATATTAGTTCAGTCTGAGTAAAGCCTTTCACTTTTTGGTTAGCGCTTAGTTTATTTTTATTTTTGTCATCTTTTTATTGCATTAAGCCCTACTTCTTTTTTTATTCTCTCTCTCTCTTTCTGTGTGTGTGTACAGAGAGGGTCCAAGAGTGATTTGAAATTTTCCTGGAATTTTATCTTTGAGAAAAATGTTTTCTATGTTTAAAAAAAAAAGAGTGAAGCACAGTTTATAAAGACAGTGTTCTACATTCTACCTTGGTGAGTAGGGTCTGGGGTCTTAAAAGCCTGTGAGCGGCCATCTAAGATACTCCACTGGTCTCACCCCTTTGGGAGCAAGGGAGAAT